ACTCCTCCCGGAGCTGCGAGGAGTTGCTCTGCGGCTCTATCCTCACCATCTCCTTGTAGGTGGGCTTGAACTCGCTGGCGGGGATGCTGGTCTCCCCGCACAAGCAGGCTTCCAGGATGGCATCGTGGATGAAGACGTACTGCTCCTTTTTTGGGGGGAGGAAAGAGGGGGAGAGGGCTGAGTCTTCCCACCTCGCTGGTGGAATCAGCCCCCGGCTCTCCCCGCTGCCTGCTCACCTCCGTCTGTATCATGTTGATCCTCCGCGAGCACAGGGTCTTCACGCAGTTGTAGATGTCCACGACGCCCTCGCACTCGGCCATGTCCAACATCACATCCAGGACGATGTAGCAGCCGGTTCTCCCTGTGCCGGCGCTGGGAGTGGAGGAGGAAAACACAGCGAACACGTTCCCAATCCACACGGCATCCACACGCAGCCCAGCACACCGACGGGCACAGACTGAGGTCTGGGTGGGTGAGGGCTCGACGTACGGTCCCTGCCCGTGGATGTGGGGGCAGTCGGGGTCCAGGCAGGGCTGCCAACCTCACACATCTCCATAACCACAGCCCAGGTTTGCTTTAAATCACCCTCCCCACCACCCAACCAAACACACCACTGCAGCCGTCTGGGGGCTGCATGATGGTCAGGAGGTGGGTAGGAGGGTGAGCACCCACAGCAAAGGTTCATTTCTACTTTAAGGCAGCTAAACACACACTTTTTGCAACAAAACCAGCAGATAAACCATCTGGGTGCCAACTGTCCTTTGGGATCTCATCCCAAAAGGGCTGAGAAGAATGCTCAGCACTGAGCCCTGAGAGCACATGGAGGTACCCCCAGTACAGAGAGGGGGCTGAATTCCCCCAGGAAGACTCTTGGGTCAAGGCTGAGCCCAGCAGGATGCCCGGAGCCAGATGACCCAGCAGCAGAGGTCTCCCAAATCCTGGCATGGTTGGACTCAGCCAAAGACCTACTGATCACAGAATGATTTGGGTTGGAAGGGACCTTCAAAACGATATATCTAGTTCCAACCCCCCTGCCATGGGCAGGGACACTTTCCACTACACCAGGTTGCTCAAAGCCTCATCCAACCTGGCCTTGAACTCTTCCAGGGATGGGGCAGCCACAACTTCTCTGGGCAACCTGGTCCAGTGCCTCACCACCCTCAGAGGGAAGAATTTCTTCCTCAGATCTCATCGAAATCTCCCCTCTTTCAGTTTAAAGCCATTGCCCCTTGTCCTGTCACTCCACGCCCTTGTCCAAAGCCCCTCTCCAGCTTTCTTGTAGCCCCTCTAGGTACTGGAAGGCTGCTGGAAGGTCTCTCTGGAGCCTTCTCTTCTCCACGCTCAACAACCTCAACTCTCTCAGCCTATCTCCATAGCAGAGGTGCTCCAGCCCTCGCATCATCTCCATGGCCTCCTCTGGACCCGCTCTGCTCCAGCAGCTCCATGTCCTTCTTGAGTTGAGGACCCCAGAGCTGAATGCAGCACTGCAGGGGGGGTCTCAGGAGAGCAGAGCAGAAGGGCAGAATCCCCTCCCTCAACCTGCTGCCCACGCTGCTTTGGATGCAGCCCAGGACACGGTTGCCTTTCTGGGCTGCCAGTGCACATTGCCAGCTCATGTTGAGGTTCTCATCAACCAACACCTCCAAGTCCTTCTCCTCAGGGCTGCTCTCCATCCATTCTCTGCCCAGCCTGCACTTGTGCTTGGGATTGCCTCAACCCATGTG